CTGGCTACTCTCCGCTTAATTGCCAAAAACAATGGGGCGAACTTTAGTTGCTTTTTTTTTGGGAGTTTTATTTTTATATTTTTTTTTTTGTGTATTTGCCGCCACCGCACAATGGTAGCAAACGAATTTGGCAATAACAATTTTTAAAGCTAATCAACGAAGGCATTCAAAGCCAAAGCAAAGGGAAATGTTCAAGTCAAGAAGTAATCTTTCCAGGAATTTTTGTGGTCATTTTAGAGACTAACTTTTGAAAGCAGAAAGTTGAACATTTAAAGTGTATAAAATTTGTTGCAAAAAGTGAGCAAAAGATCTTGAAAATCTGGTATTAAATACTATATAATGTATCCTAGTTTAAGTACCTTAATATATATAATATATGTATATAGTACAATGTATAAATGTAAAATTTAATACATAATATATACCCGGCACTTGATTCTCTTTCTCACTCAAACAAAATCTATTCTGCCTTCTTGAGACCCTAAATTCAGTTTGTATTAATTGCTATAACAACTGATTAATTATACCATATAAACCTGCCTCTAATAAACCCTGATATATGACTTATTGTCCATGTAATATATATACAATAGATCCTTTATTATCCCATTCTCTCCACTGACTGAGACCTCCTCAATGACGGACGATCGCCGCTTCTCTTGATGTTTCTGGCTGATGATGATGATGACCTCAAGCACTTGCCAATGATTTGCATTTATCGAAAGGGGCTGCTGTCACGCCCTCGAGTATATAACAACAACATATCGATGACTACCGAAACCTCAAAAAAAAAAATATATATACAAATAAAAAACAAGAGCCTCTCTTTCACATTTAGACCTTTGTCCCTTTTCGGCCTGTTGGCTTGGTGAGGCGTGAATTGGCCTCGAGTAAGAGTTAACAGATAATTAACTTCTTCTTTTTTCAGATCTGTATCTCAGGTGTGCTTCTCTCTCTCTCTCTCTTTTGTACCTCTTTTTTTCCCATAGTTTAGTAGGTGTTACTGAGGAAGGAGAGCTCCTTGCATGACCCAGCAGTTTTTTTTCCGAGGGTTTCGATTTCGATTTTGGGTCTTAGCTTAGCCCGGCGCCTCAATCGAAATTAATAGCAACTTGATGAGTTGTTGAAATTATAATTTTACCCCCTCCAAGACCCGGAGTATTTTTCCCCCCCTCTCAATTCTGAAGCATTTGCCAAGTCATGGATCAAGAGGGGGCGCCTCAAGTTGAACTACCAATTCCATGTTGAAATAAATGCGTTAAATTAGCCGCTCTTGTGAGCTCTTAGAGCTCGGTGCTTTTCTGAGGTTTCTTTTCAAGTTTTGCGGTTGGAAATGTATCCAAAATAAAACCAAAATCAAAATCAAAACCAAATCAAAACAATTTCCGCTCAATTAATAATAAAAAAATAGAAGAGGAAAACCAAACTCCGCTGGTCGACTTTCGTGACTAATTAGCTAACCATAAAACAAGAAAGAAACGAAAACTCTACACACTGAAATTTGTCAACTTCTACCAAAAAAAAATCATCCATATATATAGAGTATATAAATCTTAGTTCTGATAAAAAAGAAATGCAAATCAAGGCGGGAAATGCTCTTGAATATGTTTTTTGTCTGTTGACAAATAAACGCCTCTGCATGGCGGCGACGGCGACAAATGACAAATGTCCGGCTCGCATCCGCATCTGTTTATCTCTCGCTCTGCATCTGTATCTGTGTATCTTTGTATCTCTGAGATTGTTTTCGTTTTCTTTCCTTTCAAGTCGAGCTTGTCCGGCGCCAAGCTCAGCGCATGCCACATTAAAAATTTGTTTTAGCTGCCGCTCGCGCTCCGCCAACTGTGTGATTTCTCGTTTATTTGTTTATTTGTTTATAATTTTTTTTTTTAAAGCTTAAATGGAGCGTAAGCCGGGGCAGAAAGATACCCGAATAATGGCCAGACCCTAGATCCCCTTCCTCTCGAACAGGTTGAAATGTATCTAATTCCCATGCGACATTTTGTGGCCATAACTCTTTGGGTTTCTTAATGGGAAACCCGGTAAAGTGGATGGATATGCCTTTTTGGTTTTTATGTTTGGTCTGGGTAGTAGTTATGTTGTTAAGATATAGGTTTATATATTTCTCAGCCTATCTATCTATCAATTATACAAATGGCTTTGTAATTTCCCTTTTTTTCTCACGAGAATGTCTCTCAGAGACTGAAAGTCCTAAATTAATTTTAAGACTTAGTTCTTGGTCGGAGTATTTATATTTAAAGATTTTAGAACATGTATTTTAAGTAACATTTATTATATATAGAATATATACCTTATATTCCTTGCAATATTATTATAGATATTTCGAATATGTATTTTTAATATTCCCTGTGGGTTTATTATAAACTCCCCTATAAATCACTTGAAGTTCACAGGAAACATGGCTATATTTTGCCGGACTTGGACAAGTTTTATGATATATTTCGATCTGGATAATGCGCTGCCCTGTCCTGAGCTTGCTTTTGGTTCCTCCTCGAGTTCATTGCTTTTTTCATGTCAAAGTTCAAGATGCAAAGCCAGAGAGTGAGGCGGGGGGCAAGACCAGGGGGGAATTCTGTTTGTGTTGGCGCCCAACGTGGGGCCCCAACATTCTGTCCCGTGGCGCGGTTGTCTCTCTCTACCCTCTCCCTCTCCCACTCCCACCCCAGCCCACTTTGTGTCGGCAAAAGTTCTTAAGAAGTTTTTTTGTGTCATGCCCTCAGGTTGCTGCTGATGCTGCTGCTGTTGTTGTAAAATTTATTATAAAACTCACAGCGGGCGGGCGCCCCAGAGAAAAGGAGAGAAAAAGAGAGAGAGGGAGATAGAGAGAGAGAAAGAGAAGCAGTATTTATTCTCAATTCTTCAAGTGGTACAAATTTTCCCGTTGACATTTGTAAAAAAGGGGGAAACCAGAGAGTGTGAGATTTGAGGAGATACTCAAACCTTGGGGTCCCACTCTGATGAGAGTGACGAACTCCCTATAGGAATATCGGGTTACTCAAAAGAAGCCAAAGGTTTACCCAGAAATCAGCTGGAAGCTGACTATATCTATATGTTTATATATCCATATGACACAGACATTCGATATGCTTGATATTCAGAGACCCCAGGCCGGGCCAGAGTGCAGTCTTAATGAAGATGCAAATGTATATATCTCCAAACTGCCGCTGACAGCTCACAGATGTCTCCGTCTCCGTCTCCTTCTTCTTCTGCTGAGCACCTCCAATTCTCGAGGAGATTAAGATTTGTTTTGCGTTGCCTCCTCATCTACATCAAGTTGCCTTGGCATTTGTCACTTTCGTTTAGCGGTGAAGAGGGAACTGGGAACTGGGGATCTGGTTGCCCAGAAAGAGGTGTTGATTGTGTCACACTTGTCGCACGAAATCCCAATGTATAGAGGCCGCCTAAATATCCTTTAACTGTAACCAATGACACATCAAAAGGGCCGAAACCGTGGCCAAGCCGAAAAACCAGAACCAAACCGAATTGCAGCAAAGACCCGTGCTCCTCATGGGATAGGTATTTATTTTTCTCTTTTCGAGTGCCCTTCTTTCTCTCACTGATCACATGAAAGACAAAGATGAGCAGCTGTGGGGAAGGGGAGGGGTCGGGAAAATGTCAGAGTCTTAAGAAAACCTGTTGAAAAAAAGGGAAAACTCGAGCAAGGTGCAAGGGAAAAGCAAGCCTAAATGATGTTGTTGCGGTCAGACATGAGAACATATGCTGCTCCTGCGGATATCCTTGACAGCAGAAGAACATGTGTTTAACGATGGGAAAAAGGATTCGATACGAATCACCTTTTGAGATCAACTAGGGGGAGTAACAGCAGCTTAGGCAACTGTCAGCAACAAATTTGGAGTATGGAGATGTTGAAAATATAATAAAGGCATAGTTAGGGATTTGAATCCCCATAAAAAATCAACTGAAAATCATAGTCTTGTATTATATAAAGATCTCTTTAGGTTATATATGGTTTCTAATTGTATTTTCAAGCAGTATATACTGTAATCTTGATCATAAAATTATAATTTGACTCATAATTAGTCTAATAAATAATATTAAACTTTGATCGGAGAGCTTCAAAGGCTTATCTACTTAATTTCCAATTTAGTTTTTGCTCTGGCACATTTTCCAACCAGTTAATTAGCCTCATTTAGACGACTTCTGATGGTTATGCTCAATCTAATCCCTGTTATATAAGCCACTTGGCATTATCTTCTAAGCTTAGATATTCTTTAATCGCTAACTTGCATGTTAGTTAACAACTCCGCCTATCTTCTCCTCCTTTCTTTCGTTATAATTTCATTCAGTTTTAGAGTTCTTTTTTGCAAATTTTCTCTAAATTTTAATTTAAATTAATATATAAGTTACCCTATTTTTTCTCTTATGGAAGCGCATTGAACTTCCGCTGCCACGCCCACGTTCCGACATTAATTTTATTTATTTTTTGTTATTGTATTTGTTTTGTTATTTTTTTACTGGCTTGGGCAAGCAATGAAGCGTTGCAAGTTTGCGTCTGACTATTTTTTATGATTTTATTTTTAGTTTTTTCTTTTCTGTTCAGAGTTGACCGCATTTGCTTTAGTTTAAACATTTGCCAGTCAAAGCGAACTTAATTTATGCCTTTTTTATGCTGATGAAACCCAGACGGACCGCGCTTCATTCCGTTCGAAGTCGAAAGACCGCTTGGGAAGGTCGCTTTCAGTAAGAAGAAAAAATATAATAAAAACTAGGGAAAGACCAAGAGGAAGCAACAAAGTCGCCAAGTTTGGCTATGAAATGGTTCGAGTTTAAACCAGAAATAGTACACATTTTAGATTCTTTTTGCCCTGAAAAGCACTTGTTTTTATTACAAGGGAAATTTTAGAGAGTCTTTGCTAGATTTACTAGAAAAATGTCTATGGGTTTTGTTCGAAATCAAATGAAAGCCATCATATTCCATATGATTTTGGGATTCTAAAATCTAGGTAGGACCCAAAACTCACCTGTATAACGCGCATGGGCAGACCGGTCTCCTTGGCCAGTTGCTCCCTGATGTGCCGTGTCGGTTTCGGCGTCTGATTGAAGGCCGTTTTGAGCACCTCCAGCTGCTTGGCCTTGATGGTGGTGCGGGGACCGCGTCGTTTCGAACCATTGGCATCGTCGGGACTTTTGTTCTCCGCTTGGGAATCGCCACGTCCATCCGGATCGCCATCCAAGGAGCCCTGCACAAATCCAGATACATATGAATACAGATATATATATATATATGAAGTTATAGAAATGCATATAGGGCACACACAATGGCTGAGCTCATAATCATTTGCCAATCATTAATCAAGCGGTGTGTGAAAGAGACCCCAACAAAAAGACACCTAACCGAACCGAAATGGAATAATACAAGGAACTATGGTTGCTTAATTACCCTTCTTGTAATATATAGTAAACTAATTGAAGTTTTTTGAAATATTATATAGGAATAAATGTGGGATTAGCTATAAATTAATAAAAATACTGGAAGATAACGTAAATTTAGGTTATAAAACTGAAGACAGAACAGTGAAGTTTGTTGAAGTTTGAGAAAGTAAAGCATTTTAATTTAAATTTATAAATAAAATTGTATAGCAATTGTTATAAATAAAGTGGTGCCTAAAACAAATGAGTTAATATCCCCTTAATTTAAAAATTATTAATAAAATCCCTATACTTTGAAATCCTCAAAGCTTCAATAAACCTTTACAAAATGATTTAAAAATTATTCATAAAACCCCTATACCTCTTCTAATCCTTGAAATAATATACCCTTTAGCTCTAGTTTACACGGTATTCCCAGGCCCCATTCATTACTTGGGTGGAAAAGAAAAAAAAACGAGGAATACAAGTTAATGATGCCTCCTGTCTTCGATCCTCTCTCCCTCTGAGATGCCTCCGTACCTCACAGCTTCTCTGTACCTCTCAGTTTCCCTCTCTCCCTCTCAGCTTCCCTCTCAAAAACCCCTCTCTCTTCCTCTGAGATATTCCCCCTCATTTCCTTACCTGATCAGAATCGTCATGGGTATTTTTGCTATCGGTGCTCATGCTTTGTACTGATATATCCGATGTGCCCAGAGGTCCGCCCGCTGAGTCGGGTCCATTGGGCCCCAATACGCCCAGGCCAAGGGCTGTGGCCCGCAAGTGCGGTGGATCGTCGTCATCATCGTCTTCGCTCGCCGAGCCCATTAATGAATCTGTAAAGGGACATAAAAGAAGACCAAAAGTTGTGTGTGTCAGTCCGTGCAACAAATTACAGAGGGGGGTGGTGGTGTTGTATAAGGATTTGCAGGACCACTTAAAATACAATTGCAATAAATAATATTTGTGCTGGGCTAAGCTCAAAACGACGCTGGAAATTGGGTTTATTTAAAAGTCTGGTTCTGGTTCTAGGTCACGTGTCACCATTTCATGGTCTAAGTAGCTGCTTCTGGGGTTCCCTCAGACTTTTGGGTCACGTGTCAACTGCAGTCGTTCCTCTCTGCCGGATTCCTTTATAAGTTGATTAGGCCAAAAAGGGAGAGAAAGGAGGGTAGAGTCTTTATCTTCAAGCTTTGCTCCGTGCAAAATGCTGACACGCGTCGGTCTAGTCTCTGCCAGAGTTGAGATAAGAGGAAAACGAGCGTTGAAACGTGTCACTCTACGAGATGATGATTCTTTCTCTAAATATAATATATACATGTATTTTTTGTTTTTGGTAAATCTCAACAGAAAATACTCCAGGGAGCACCTGACACAAGGCATTCCTCGGGGGACAGTTGGTAGAAATAAATTACACTTTATTATGCATAATCTAATCCACGCCAGCAACCCTGCCAGAAGATACTGAGATTTGTACAGATTTCCACCCAGTCTCTGTCTGAGTCTGAGTCTGAGTCTAAGTCTCAGTCCCAGAGTCTCATCTGGCACCTGTCACATCGACTCTCCAGCTTAACTGGGTTCTTGGGTTTTGATGGAACTGACTCTGGCTGAACTGCCTTACTGGTTATGTCTGGTGACGCAGCTGCTTCTAGCAATCTGCCAAGATCCACAGATCCAGGGATTGGAAAACCTAAACCAGATGTAGCCTATAAAGGGGGTAGCTTTATCATTAGATATTTAAACTAGAGGAAGTCATTTACTAAATGTTTTTAAGACATTAGACATTAGATATTAAACTTTTTCAAGCTAGAGAAAGTTTTCTTTAAGCTAGTTTCCATTCGTATTATATATTAAACTCTTTTCAACTAGAGAAAGTCTCTAACTTAATCCTGCTCAAAGATCCTTTCTCCTTTTCACCTTTTTCAAAAAACCTTTCCCACCATCTGCTGTACATACGAAAACACAGGGAAAGATCTCAATCGGTTTGGGCTTTTGGTCGAGTGTCGCGGGATGCCATACAAGGTCCTTCAACAATTGACCCGCAGACAGGAGCAGCGGTACGGAAATTTCAAGTGTTTACCAGCATCACGCTGGAATACTACCGGGAGAAAGAAGGGGGAAAGGAGGGGAGGGGAAAACTGGACTAAGTTTAAAGGGAAAGGCAACCCACCCGAAAAAGGACCAAAGGACAGCAGCCTGCCGGCTCGAATCCATATGGGCGCTTTAAGTTTGTTGTAAACACATGTTAATAAACACGCACCCACCAAGGGTTGGGCTTGTCAGTACCAGCAACAACAGCAGCAGCAGCAACAACTCGAGCATCACTCAAATTAACTTTGAAAACCATTCAGGAACACTTCATTTGATTGCCGCAGAAAACGTTTTTCCAAGGGGATAAATCCACCCAGAATCCTCCCCCAGAATTCTGTTGCAATAGCAATTATACCATTTGAGGGGAAGCCCACCCCGCCCAACAGCGGCCATAAAAGTTCAAACACATTCATTTCGCGCTTAGAAAAATATATATATATATATATCTTTACATATATATATAGAGTAACCTTCTGGCCTTTGGGATTTTCCAACCATCCATCTCTCTCTCCATCGCTGACTGTTTTTCTTTGGCAAACAGCCGCATCCGCATCCGTATCCGCAGGATGCCGAACAAGTGCAGAAGAGATCCTTGAGAGCGAGAGCTTGACTGGCGAGCAAACAACAAGGACAGAAGGACAGAAGGACAGAAGGACGGAAGGACAGAAGGACAGAAGGACGGAAGGACTGGCGGACATAAATAAACAACTGGCGCCTGGTGGAATGAATCCATCAATTGTGCTACCACCCCCTCAATGACCCTGCCCAGAGTTTGCCTCCCTCCCCCACACTGTGCTGTTTGCATAGTCAAGTGCAACAGGACATTTCCGTTGAATGGGTTTTTCCACCCAAGATTTTGACAAAAAAAAGAGTAAAGAGAAGATGCTGTCACCTGTCAGAGAGGAAAGTCTTTTAGAGAAAGGGAAAGTATATATGTATCTGCCAAGTTTCAAATAGTTGCTAGATTTTCTTTCTATTTAAATGTTTCGCTTTTTCAAATTCCGCTCATGTCCGAAGCAAGGAAATTCTTGCAATATCATGATTTTGAAGTGAATGAATCCTTTTGAGGGGGAAAACTTAATGGCACCACGTAAATAGTTTTGTCAGGATATCGAATCTACCTGTCATTGCTTCATTCGATAAAAAAAAGAGCTGGAGAACAAGGACACCCAAAAAGGGGGAAGTTTTGGTAAGGTAAAAGGAGTGGGTGGCTTGGGACATAAAACTGAACAATTTGAGGGGGGTTTCGAGCGAGAGAATGCCACCACCACCACCACCACCAATCCTATGTAGACAAAGCGCACACACATTAATTTCGAATTAGTTTTGCATCATGTGGTTCACGATGCAGAAAAATCGACTCACTGGAAAATAAGTGAGTAGGAAAAACTCCCCCTTTTGGATCCCCAGCATTTTCAGCTGGTTTTCCGCTCGACGTCATCGTCGTCGTCGTCGTCTTGATTCTTAGTTCATTCGTCGTCGTTCGTGTTTATGGGCAACTATTAAGTGCACAACGTAGTGCGGCATGAAAAATGTGGCATGGACGTGGAACAGATCGCTGGATTTTCTACATGAGCGCATTCTAAAAGTCGTTCGCCTCACCAACACAAAAACCTAAAGCAAAAAAAGTATATTGTATATATAGAGGAGAGAGTTCTGGTTACGGGATATTGGGATATTGAGATATTGAGATACTGAGATTCTGAAATTCCAGATTCCATCCATTCATCCTCAAGTCTCTCGGGTTTTGTGGCTGTAAAATTAGGTTAATTCCTGTCAGTGCGTTGCTGATTTGAATTGTCACACAGTTGGATATATATATATATTTGTGGATATATGTTTGGATATATATCATATGCACTGGAATGTAAAATTAACTACATTTGCACATATTAAGGTTAGCTAAGGTCTAACTTGTTTTACTTTTTATAGAAATTAATCTTTAAATGTCTCAAAAACTTGCTTAAAATTAAGCCAATACTTTTTTCTATTGATTATATAAATATTTCTTAACTAAATTTATTAATTCTTAGGAACCCATATTTCTCTCAGTGCCTTGCACTTGGCACCTGGTTCTCGGTTTCGTACTCTTTGGCATGGGATTTACTTGCATTGACGTTCGCTGACGTCTCTCCTGGAAGCCCCTCTCGAAACCCCCTTGAAACTTCTCTCAAAGCCCCCCCTGGAATTCCTCCCCTCCCCTTGAAACCCCCTCTCCTTTCCCTATATAAACCCCGCTGTCCGATCGCGGCTTAGTGACGACGACGACTCTAATCCCCTGACTGCCTGTCTCTCATCCTCCATCCTACATGCTCGCATATATTTCTGCTCTTTCGCTTTTTCTTGGGGTTTATCTTTTTTCTGCATGTTTTCTGATGTTTTTTCCTTTTTCTTTATTTTTTTCTTTGGGATTTTTGCACATGACAGTTACGCAAGAAAAAAAAAAATGTCAAATCGAGTGAGTTGGCAGTTGGGGCAAAATGTTATGCAATTTCCAACTGGTATTCCATAGTTAAATGGGTGATAAAAAAAGCAGGCAGCTAAAGAAATTCTATATTTTGTTATATATTTAAAGTACTAATTGTTATATTTAATAATGAAATCAAGTAAAAACAATACTTTTACCTTGAGGTATCTTTAGTCTTTAGTTTAGACCATAAAAAGGAACAGGGCTAATAGATATTCTCCCTCGAGTGTCTTGCGTGTGTTATTGACAGGACTAATTTTTGTACTACCATTAAATAGTTTTGTTTTTTTTGTGTTCCTACTTTTCTTCCTAGAAAAACTCTTGGCTTTCTTTTTCAAAAGTCATCTGCTGGCATTTAGTGCCAGTCCAGCGACGTCATGTCAAGGTCACACACAAACAGGAAACGGAAGAGGAACAGAAACTTCTATTTGTATATATATATATATATATATCTCCCAACTGTAGCCTTGGGTCATTGGTAATGAGTGTCCATAGTTGTCCAAGTTGTTCAAGTTGCTGCCCGGGCAGTTTGCACTTAATTTCTCTGTTTGTGTGTTGCGTGCACAAACATTTAAAATTTATAGACAAACACCCAACACACATTGCACTGGTGCTTCCCCCCTACACACACACACACACCCACTCACACACACATTTTCCGATTTAGCCACTTGGCATGCTCAGTCAAGTGGAAAGTGTATGAACACCCCTTGGCTGGGCTCCCTTCCTCACAAGTCCAGTGCCACCCCTCGGTTTTTGGGTAAATGAAGTTGCGGCAAAGGCAGGCTCCCACCTACCACCTCCTCCCATTACCTCCCATCATCTACCACCTCTTCCCCTTACCAGAACCATGCGAAGTTTGGTGGAAATTGCTCCTTCTGTTGACTGGTTTCACGTTCTTCACGCTTTGATGCGGCATTACAAATTGTTGTGGTATTTGTTGTTGCCATTGCACCCTCGCAAATAGTTGCACACACACACATAGAGCCAGACAGGAACCAACACACACACAGATAGGGAGAACCTTATACACCTAGAGAAAATGGTACTATCAAGAAGTAAAACTTCAGAAAAGTGTATCTAAAACTTTGTCTAAGAACCGGGAATAGATACTTAAAGAGAATATTGTCTAGCCACTAAAAGAATTTAACGGTTTTCATTAGAATTCAATTCATTTACTATTACATATAATTTCTAAAGTAATTTTTAAATTTTATGTTACATTTCAAAAGACGAAAATCTGCTTAAATTCTCATTCTTACCTAATTTCTATTTCAA